CCCTTTTTTGTTGCAAACAGGGAGAGAGAAGTGGATGGCTAGAGACAGGCACTGGTTAAAACAAAGGCTTTGTACAGTGCAAACAGTCATGGGGAAAGAAAAATATTGGTCCTTTCAATTATATTGTTTAGGTAAATGTGTCATGGAGGCTGTGGAGGGACTTTGGTGAAAGGTAAATTGCCTCTTCCAGTAGTGCCACGTGTATGATGTGGCTTCTCCTGCTTAAGGCAGGTGAAGGAATTTGCTGCTGAAGAGCTCAGTTCAGCTCCCAGTAGAGCAGAGCCAGTCCCGTGGCTGCAGGGGCACATTTTTAAGAATCTGCCCTAAAATCTGGTGAAGTTTTGTTGAACTTTGGTGTTTTTCAGAAACATTCTGTCTCTTGTCACTATTTTTGAGCCATAGTGGCAGCTACTTACAGCCTTGAAGTCCCAGACAGTTTTCCAGCCCTCAGAGCCCTCCTTTGGGTTGGTGCTGACGCCGCTGTCAGAGCGGTTTGAGTTTTCACTGTGGTGCCCATTGTCAGTGTTCTGGTTTTTGGAAGAGATTAAGGCAGGTGAGGATGTGGCTTTGGGGATTCCCAGGAGTGTTTTACTCAATAAACTATAGGTATAGTAGCCGTGTTTTGGGAAACTGTTGCTCTTGGAGATGATTTTAAAGGGAAGGTAATTTCTGGCCTCAGAACGAAGACTTGGAAGTCCCTTAGTTTCTAAACAAGTAAAATAATTCCTTGTTGTTCTTTCCCCACTAGGAGTGTGCAGACACCAGGTTACTTACAGTATTCCCCTGGATTTTGTGGTCAGATCATTCATACTGATATTCATTTCTCTCCACACCACTCCTTGCAGTGGTTTTGCTCATCTCAGGACAGACTTTCCTGATTTCATACGTGGTAACTGTTTTTTCCCTTGGTGTATCAAGCACATTAATATTTCCCTTGGTGTGTAATAACAATAAAAATATAATTTTCTTCTAAGCATCACACTTAAAAATGCAGCTTCACTCTCAGAACTATCAGAGGCAACAGCTAAAGGCCACTAATTCTCATGGCAGAAGTGAAGAGCTGCAAGTAGCTCTGTCCTTACCTTGTTGGCAAGAGCTGGAGCCAGGACAACTCCAAGAAGAGCAGCAATCACAATCTGAAATGGATGTTTAAATTCACAACATTTTAACATTGTACTGCTTATCTTGCATCAAGTTATTTGCTGTCTTTAACTAATTTTTACTTCCATTTAATGTTGCACAGAGGATCAGCACTTTTCTGCAGGGAGACCTGGCCGAAGAGGATTTAAATATGCAGGGGAGTTTTGTTTAAATGAGTTTCCATGAGATCATCAATGCACAGAAATTGCCCTGAACCAACAGGCTCTAAAACTTGCCCAGCCCCAGTCCCGTAAACCCCTTGGGAAAAGGTGTTCTGAAATAATTTCTTGGAGAGAGTGAGCTTTTCACCTTGACCTTTTGATTTCAGACGTGGAGCAGATCCATGAAGTGTCCATGTGCACCTAATGGGGAGAACTGGAATGTGGGTGCCCACTGCAGCTCTGTGTCAGCAGCAATAGGACCTGAGCATCCTCACAGAGATTCCATCCTCCAAATACAGAGCTAATAATCTAAGGGTAGGCACGAGCCTTTCTGAACAGAGAAACGTGACATTAAATATTTCTATCCCCTTTAAAAAGTCAAAGTTTCTGTGATCCATGTGCTTGTTATTGTCCGAACTACTGCTGGTCTCTTTTGGAGAGATTTAATACTGTTCTGAAGATAAATTCTTGGAGACAATTCTCTTGGAGACAATCCCCTGAATACTGAATCAGTCCCAGATTTCATCTCCTTCAGAGGAGGATTTTGATGAAAAAGATCCAAGTGTGACTCAGAATATTCAACACTAACACGTGGGAATTTATCCTGCACAGTTCCAGCCACTGTAAATACCCCGGCACCACCGTCCTGCACGTGGAGTCTCTCGTGGTTCTCCTGCACTCTCAGCACAGCTGTGCCCTCACTTTCTGGACCTTGCTGAGACTGTTGACTTGCCTCTGAGTTGTGAAGGAGAGAATATTGTCCTTTGGACATTCCACGTGTGTGTGTCACCCCTGAGACAGAGCACTTCTCTCTTTCATTTTTAAGTAGGCAGATGGAGTGACATCCCTGCCAGAAG